TCTACTATGATTAGGTAAGTTAAATCACCTATGGGCGCTAAAAAATCTAAATGGAGCCTCGACCGCAGGCGCGAAGGCCAGGGCCACGAGCACGGCGCCTGCGTCCCCACATAATGCAACCCAGTTCTGCATACAATTCTTTAATATCTACATCCGTCAGCCAACCGAAAAAAAAACTCGAGATAAAATTGAACCTCGGCCGGTTTCTTTTGTTATTGTGATTTAGTAATAAAGCTTCCGAAGAATGTAAAATGTCACCTACCGGAAAACTTCTAAAGATCCTACTTCATTTTTTTTGTGATTTCATTAAGCGCTAAAGTCCATCGGCCGTATTTTTGTCGGTTCTAACATAATCAATCGTAAAGTCATAAGGGATATATTGGGATCGAAAATGTTTACAGGCTCAGCTACCCGTTCCTGCAGCCTGCAGTCGCCAGCGGTTTCCATAATGCGACTCCCGGGATTACCAACTACCCGGCGTTACACAGGAGAGTACCTGAACCGACGAAACTGAGGAGCTTGTGTGGATTAAGTGCTCAACCCCACATAATTATGAATTTTTTCCACCGCATAAACGATCGCTGAAGCCCCCTTGTGGATTTGGCTATAGTTCAGCTCGTGAGCGCTAAGCGCATGCGACGCGTAAGCGACATCTAGCTCCGCCGCCGCCGCCCCGCCCGAGCCAGGCGTGCGCTGCGCCGGCACCGCTCCGAGACCCCGCCGCTTGCATCCACCGTCAAAACGAACTAGTTTTCTGTATCGAAATGTGTCAAAGCCTTTGTACTACACAAGAAATTTTTAACCATACTGAAAGCCAGGTTTTGTTCTCTGCACTAGCCCCAATGTTTACCTTTCTTTAATAGACTATAAAGTGGTGCAAGGTGTACGCTCGAATTCCTAATAAGTTTCCCATAAAAAATTACCATTCCAATAAATGATTTCAATTCGCTAACGTTATTAGGACGAGGCATCGACGTGATTGCCTCAATTTTTTCTGGATCCCATCGTTATCGATAATAAATCCCAAGTATTTTACTTCTTTTGCCAAAAAATGGCATTTACTTTTTAGGGTTCCGTAGGCAAATGGAAAAAAACGGAACCCTTATAGATTAGTCATGTCCGTCCATCTGTCCGTCCGTATGTCACAGCCACTTTTTTCTGAAACTATAGAAACTATACTGTTGAAACTTGGTATGTTGTGAACAGCATTAATATTTTCATACAAAACTGAAACTTAGAACTGAAACTCAATTTTTTTTCATCAAATCACGTATGGGACGTGTGTGGTATTTATGGATAGATCTTCAAAAATGATATTGAGGTTTCTAATATATATTTTTTTTCTAAACTGAATAGTTTACGCGAGAGACACTTCCAAAGTGGTAAAATGTCCCGTCCCCCCCCCTGTAACTTCTAAAATGAGAGAATAATAAAACTTAAAAAAAATATATGATGTACATTACTATGCAAACTTCCCCGAAAATTGGTTTGAACGAGATCTAGTAAGTTTTTTTTAATACGTCATAAATCGTAAATAGCTATTTACCTTTCATTCAATCAACTCAAATATATTAAAAAAATACATTTAATTTCATAAACGCAAACGCATATGCATAAACCGTGAACCATTATTTTCTAATAATAAATCTGTAATAGGCGCCTAAGTAAAAAGTTAATGTATCGTGACGTCACATCCAAGCGTTCTAAAATACCGCACGTTTAAACTGCCCGTGCAAAGTGGCTATATTTAACATATGTTTTAGACACTTTCCCCTTTTTTCAACGTTAATTTGTTTTTAAAATGTATAAAGAGGACGTTTACTATTAAATGAAATAAAAAAAAACATGCATATTCCCTATTGCGAACATTTACATGGACTAAATTCAATTGGTATAGGGTTGAGTGATACAGTAAAATCTAATAAGTAGGTACATAATATTAAAACTGCCCCCCGCGTGCTCTGCACCCGCTACCGATCAAGCCACGCCTCGGGCGAATTATAATTATTGCAAAATACTGATATTTTGCGTACCTTTATTGCGGATGGAAGTCGGAACCTACTTCAATCAACATCATTAATTTCTTGCTCGAAAATAAATGTTATTAACAAATATTGATGGATTACATGCATATTCCTTATTCAGTTAAATTACATGAGTGGGGGTTGGTTGATTTCTGAAAGATGTTTATTCTTTTGATATCAATACAGATAAAATGAAGATGTATGTATTTTTTATTATGTTGCGGATGACGTGGGTAGACAATAATTTATTGACAGAAAAACATTTTATACGAGGGTTAAAAGACCGGGCCTAAAGAAATTTTGTTACTCAACGCGTTTATCTGTTTTCGTTGATGAAGGTATTGAAGAAGCAATAGTCTGTTTAATATTACATTAAAGAGACTATGACTTTTTTATTACTTTCATTTCATTTTAGGTTTAAAAGTAGAGGCGTGTGAAGTGAAGTACTCACCCAGCGTAAAATATTTTTGGTAACGTCATTCTTAAATGCTAATATAAGGCAGCAATATTAAATAAGGAAAATATTGTGGTGTTTAGGAAGCACTCTCAACGTAAATATATGGCATCACTTCGTACATGTATGGAAATATGAACAATAAAAATATTATCGCTCCATCCCCAAATATTAAAAGGAAATCAGGCAAACGTCATGGCCGCTGAATAATAACCTTTTTCGTCATGTATCTATAGATTATAAAAAAGTGTTGGTAATTTTTACATAAACAAAGTCTTGCAGATATATATCGATTTAAATTATCGCATGACGTCACGTCTTGGTAATTTTTTTACTTAGAAGTGAAGTCATAACACGAGCCCCCACTTCCAAAAGTTTGACGCGCTTTATGTTTGTAGTTTTTTGGTTGATTGATAAAAGAAAAAATATATGTCCATTATTTTCTTTAAATCTTATTGAAGGATTAAGAAGAATTCATTTTCTTTACCCCGTTATCATCCCAATTCAATTAGGTATGTATATGTACAATCATTTAATAATGTACAATTCGAATTCCTTGTAAGAGAATCACTCCATTATATTTGTTAATGCATAAATATATATTTAAAATTGATAGCAGGCAAGTGCTCAATTTATATCAACATAACTAGGTTGCTTTAAAAGATACCTTAGTAAAAAAAATTGACTTCTATATTTAGGTAAAATCTTATTTAACACAATCCATACAACTTTCTTATCTAAATGGTGAATGGAATTAAGTAATTAAGTTTGGAATCGGGTATTGCTGCCGATCCAATCAGGCCTACCCAAGTATAAGTACCTTTTATTATCACGTCAGAGAAAATAAAAAGAAAGCCTATAATTACATTTATCCCGCATTCATTTTCCTTTTGTAACTTTATCTTGGTCTAATAAGATGATGGATGAAGTTTATTAAAGGACAAAATCTCTAGTTTATTGTCATCATATGGGTATGATGGTATACTTTTTATGAAGCATCTATGTTAATTTGTTTCATTTATGAATTCTTCAATTTGACGTTAATGATATAATTATATATTCGTGTGTGCAATAATATTGTATTTTGTGATCTTACAGAAATGAGAATATTATATATGAGAGAATGTACAAGTAACAAAGCTGTAGTAGTAATGATGATGAAACATTACTACATACTAATAATTGCCAAATAGAAGGTTCACACTAATGACCTGAGTTACCTACTTTACAAAGTCAATAAATGTGGTACTGCATCCATTGTCTTAATTTTCTCGCACGCACAAACATTCATTAGGGGAGAAGGAGGCACCTTAGCACAGCGGCAGATTTGAACATGTTGATTTCTGAATGTAACTTTATGTTAATCTATGCCGCAACTACATTTTAATATTGGTAGCACTGGCTGTGACAAAAGTCAAGTGTTATGAGGGATTTACTATCACGGGAGTAAAGGATTCCAACTAATTCTTCCACAAAATTGTGCAGTACTTATTAGTTTTCAATCAACCTTGTATTTTTTGCTTACCAGTTATGTCACATTATTTTTTTGTAATATTTTATCTTCCAAGAGACCATGGGGCAGATTTGATCAAAACAAACGGGGCTGATTTGAACGGGACGTTCAAATGCAAACTTCAAATATTTTTTTAATACATGTATTCTAAAAGTAATACTTAATTATAATTAAATGCATCACTTAATGTAATTCATTATTTATTGATAACTAATCCATGAGAACATACAAAAATAAGCGGGAAAGTACAATTAATGAAGATGATGTCCTAAATGCTGTTTTATGCGTCATCAACGAAACTATGAAACTTAGAAGAGCTGCAGATGCACATGGACTGACGCCGAGTCCACTCTTCTATCAAGTTCAAAAATATCAAGAAAACATAGCTTCAAGAAGTGACTACTTTTAGAACGACTTTTTTGTGGTTTAGAAGTTTCATATATATTAAGTATATTTTATGTTTAATTTTACGTCTGAGGTAGCATTACTTTAATTATAATAACAATAAACTAAAACACTTGTGCAATATGATTACTTTTGTTAACAAGGAGGAAGTTAGACATAATTAAAAATTCCTATTTTTAATTTTATTACTATAATGATATTTATTGATATTAAAATATAGAATAGATTATTACAGTAATAATTTGTCGAATTTGAGATTTTGCCCCTGCGACTTATTTATGGTCATGGCGAAACAGACCTTCAGGGGAAACTAGAGTCTTTTGAACTCAAAGGGGAGCTCAATTGGTATTAATGGAATACTTAGTAAAAACACTGTTTATCCCTGAGCAGGTTCGATTCAAATTGTGGCTTCTACTACGTTCCGGTGCAAAGCTTTGACTTGCAACCGTGTGCCGTTGCTAAGTTTGGGTGGATTTAAATTTCTTAATAACATAACATGTGTACCCATACGCGGTAAAAGTCTGTGGTATGGCAAAACCGGTGGGCTCAAAGTGTTTAAGATCTCTACTGGATAATTAACGGCATCGTCAATGGTTACCAGAGTATAAACAATCTGTTGTCCTTTAAAAGAGTTCAGTAATATATCATTAATAACCGTTGCTTGGTCGTTCTTTAGGGTGAGTATAGCTCTTTCGCATAACCACTCTATTGATTTTTACCGGGATGATCGCAACGTGTGGGTAATTTTTGAAATCAGGTTTTCAACTGTTGTTACTGAAGTGCACAGATGGGAAGCGATAGCCATCATGCCATAATTTTCTGGGTAATCACCGTTACTCAGTTTAAGCAAAAGATCCGAAAATTGGCTGGCGGAAACATCACCTCCAAGGTGGAGTCTCATATTTTTTATAATTTTAAAATTTCAGTTGAAGGCCACAATGATGATCGTGAAAGAAACGATCTAATCTCATCGGCACGTGTTCCCCTTGGAACTACTGGTAGAGTTTAACGAAAGTCTTCTGTCAGCAATACAGTCAAACCACCCATCAAACTTTTGTTGCTGCGTATGTCTTGCAGAGTCCTATTCAAAGCTTCTTTACTTTTTTATCGCCCAATAGTACCTTTATCCCAGGAAATAATTTTAGTTTTCCTCAATACTTCTGCAAATTTGCTGTTTTCAAATATACAATAATTGAGTTTCCACATTTGTTAGATTCATTGGCAACTTTAAGACAGAGTGTGCAGTCCGACTGCCTTGCTAAAGTGTTGCGGCAATTCTCGAAGAAGCCACAGCTAATGCAATGTCACGGGTGACCCTTGATTTTCCCAAAATCAAAATAGGAATTGGCACCTCTTACTATTTGTTCATATACTGGCTTTTGTTCTTCTGTTAATAAATCATAGTTATTCGTGACTAACCCCTCTAAAGTTATCACATCATAGCTAGATTATTTAATCAATTCTCTATTTGCTAATGCTATAGACCTCCTTGGTTGTGGTAAGCCGTACTCTTTAACCTTAAAGTACCCGTGGGGGCGCCCTTACCGAATGGTGAGGAGCAAGCTAAAACATCAAGCCCCATCCACCGAGACGTTTGATCCGGAACTGCTTGAGGATGTCGTCTCGGCCCTGTTTCCCGAGGAAGTACCGGCGATACGGCCACTAATGGCTCCACGAGAAATGGCGGACCCTGACCTGGTGGCGCCTGCAATAACAGAAGAGGAGCTGGAGAAGGCGCTGGAGAAACTCCGGGGCAAGGGAAAAGCACCAGGCCCAGACGGGATACCGGGCGGTGTCCTTCGGATGGCACTGAGACACATGGGTGAGCACTTAACCACAATCATGAACTCGTGCCTGCGGGAGGGCCGATTCCCGGCAGCCTGGAAACGAGGTAAGCTATGCCTCCTCCAGAAAGAGGGCAGACTACTTGACTCCCCCTCGGCATATCGACCTGTGGTCCTGCTGGATGAGTTGGCAAAAGTGTTTGAGAGAATTCTCTCAAACCGGATAACACCTGGACACCACAGGTCCGAACCTTGCGGAGAGGCAGTACGGTTTTAGGAGAGGGCGCTCCACCGTGGATGCAGTCATGGAAGTCAAGCGGATGATACAGCGGGCTGTGGAGATGGGGGAGAGTGTAATAGCAGTGTCCCTAGACATTAAAAACGCTTTTAACACTCTCCCCTATGCCTGGCCCCGAAGTTAGTGAGGGCGGCAGCAGCATTGGGGCAGTTGCTGCCTAACATTGGGGGTCCCGGCGCTAGTTGTCGTAGGCTTTTTGCGGGGGTGATACGGTGCATGGCACTGTACGGTGTGCCGGTGTGGGCCGATACCCTCGGTGCGGTCAATAGAGCGGAGCTCAGAAGACCGCAGAGGATAGTGGCCATACGTTCGACGCGGGAGTACCGGACGGTATCATATGAGGCGGCGTGTGCCCTCTCTGGGATGCCCCCCTGGGATCTGGAGGCACTCGTGCTCGCAGAGGTATACCGGGGGAGGATCTCGGCGAGGGAGGGGGAGAGCGTGCGACGACAGAGGAGATTGCGCAGGTACGCAGGGTGGCAGGGGAGGAGCTCATGGAGAGCTTGCTGGAGCGTCTCGAGAATCCAACAGCGGGGGTGAGAACGATAGAGGCGCTACAACCAGTTCTCAGGGATTGGATCAGTAGAAGTCAGGGACGCTAACCTCTCGACTGGTGCAGGTGCTTTCTGGGCATGGCTGTTTCGGGAAGTACCTGCACCGGATTCAGAGGGAGGCGGACTCCTCGTGTCACGAGTGTGGTGCTGCCGAGGACACTGCCCAGCACACCCCAGAGGTGTGCCCGGCGTCGACTCAGCAGCGCAGCACTCTCGTCGCGACGGTAGGAATGGACCTCTCGCTGCCCAGCGTGGTGAAAACCATGCTGGCTAGCGACAGATCCTGGGAGGCAGTGGTGTTCTTCTGCGAGGAGATCATCTCGCAGAAGGAGGCTGCGGAGAGAGCCCGAGAGGAATAGGCCCTCGCGGGATCTCTTCGCAGCAGAAGGAGCAGGAGGCGAAGAGGTTGGCGCAGGATAGCTCATCATCTGCCACCCTGACACAGGGGGAGGCCCTAATTAGGGCATGGGGGAGAGAAAGGTCCTTATTGGGACCAGGGGAGGCCGGCCACGTTAGGGATTGGATTAGGGAAACTGCCCTTTTCAGGGCTAGGGTGGGTGGGAGCAACACCCCACAGTGGTTTTTATCAATCACTGTCACTGGAGGTAGGTGCTCAAAAGGCCCTTCTTAGGGCCAAGGGGGGTAGGAGAAGGACGGAGAGAACTACGCTCTCCCTCTCACTCCTGCGAGAGGCGCGAGTCTGTCCTGGGGGCGACGGGCTCGCATTGCACAAGCTCTCAGGATGTTGATGCCCCTGATGCTCCGCAACACCTGGCGGGTGCGCGGCCATTCGGAAACGGGAGCCGTGGCCACACCCGCCCTCTCGGCATTCACTAGGGGGACCGCGGTCCTCATAGTGCGTGTCGGGTGATGGTGCAGGAGTATTGTCTGGTTTTTAGTGGCCCTGTTTATTTCACCCGACCACAAAGCTGGCTGAAATGAACAGGTAGGAGTCCCACATACCTTCTTCTCGCTCCCCCAGTGGTTAAAGGATGCGTAAAGCATTTCTCAGGCACAAAAAAAAAGGTACTTAACTTGTTAGTTTACCCGTTTTCCCGCACAATACCGATTCCCGCGACGATAACGTCGGAACAGGCGGCGTTGTCGACGCAAACGTATTCAGTGATTAATTACGCTTTGAAATTCCAACGCGGACTCTCAGGCCTCACGTCGGGACGTATAGACCAGGGTCGATAATTTTTGAGAACAAAAAAAATTATAGTAGGATGAAACCCATTGGAAAAGGTAGAGAATATAACAAAAATGAAAGGAAAAATAAATTACGGGCGATCTGAGGTCGGGAAGGGGAGGGGGTGAGTTTTTAAGGGTAAAAACCGGTTAATCTCGATTTCCGGTAAAACTGCAAGTCCTATGAAAAAAAGTTAAATAATAAAGTTGTAGGTAATAAAAAGCTGTACAACTTTTGTATCGACACTTTTTTTCACATAACTTCAAAATCTATGTGAAAAATTCGAATAACCGAGTTTTTAGTTTTTTATTTTTTGCAAAAAAAAAATTCTTTCACGAAACTTAGTGACAACTTACCTTTGTATGTCCCAAACATACAGTAATTTTTTGATTTAAAATATTCATTTTTTCACCTTATTTTGACTTAATATCGAAAAAGCACCCTAATTTTCAATCGAAAATTCTCACGTCAAAATATCTGCTTTTTTAAAAAAGTTGATGTGTTTTTTGTTTGTTGAAATTTCTACTTTCTGATGGTATAAAAAAAATATACACTACTATGGTAAATGTTCTCAGAAACTGCAAATTAATAATGAAAAAAACTCCAATCCGAAAAATTTATTTGAATCATTATGTATAATTTTGAACTATTTATTAAAATTTACACTTTAATTACTCGAAAAACGTAAGATTTCATGTTATATTGATAAACAGAAAAATTACAAATCCATAAAACATGCAAAAATAGTTGTTGTAAGTAGGTATTAAAAATAGGATTTTCGGATTTGAGTTATTATCATTATTAATTTGCAGTTTCTGAGAACATTTACCATAGTAGTGTATATTGTTTTTATACCATCAAAGAGTAGAGATTTCAACAAACAAAAAACACACCACCTTTTTTAAAAAAGCAGATATTTTGACGTGAGAATTTTCGATTGAAAATAAGGGTGCTTTTTCGATATTAAGTCAAAATAAGGTGAAAAAATTAATATTTTAAATAAAAAAAAATGCTGTATGTTTGGGACATACAAAGGTAAGTGTTCACTAAATTTCGTTACAAAAATATTTTTTTTGCATAAAATAAAAATAAAAATCCAAAAACTCGGTTATTCGAATTTTTCACATAAATTTTGAGGTTATGTGAAAAAAGTGTCGATACAAAAGTTGTAGATCTTTTTATTATCTACAACTTTGCCATTTAACTTTTTTTCATAGGACTTTCAGTTTTCCCGGAAATCAAGATTAACCGGTTTTTACCCTTAAACACTCACCCCCTCCCCCTTCCCGACCTCAGATCGCCCGTAATTTATTTTTCCTTTAACTTTTGTTATATTCTCTACCTTTTCCAATGGGTTTCATCCTACTATATTTATTTTTCACTTTTCACCATTTTTAAAATTATCGACCCTGGTCTATTACGTAAGTTTTTTGTTTTACTTTTTGTTAAAGTAAACTTTTATTTTCACAGATATTATGAACTTTAGTAATACTACGGACTTCCGATCCATGGATCGAATAGTTGTATGACAGAATTACAAGATACAAAAAGATCTCTGATATGTGTTATCAGCATCAGCCTATTAATGTCCCCACTGCTGGGGCACTGGCCCTCCCTATGGATGGAATAGGGAAATTGGGCCATGCCCCACCACGCTGGCCCAGTGCGAATTGGTGGATGCTGACGACTGTCGATTCAGCCTGGACCAACGGTTTAACGTTATTTTCGAAGCATGGAGGAGCCTTAAAAAAATTTTTGGTCACCCATTTGATGACCAACCACCGCGAAAGTTGCTTAACTTCAATGATCGCAGCCAAATCCATTTGCACCATAGAGCTCGAGAGTAAATAAAATATAACTATTTTTACTTAAAACCCTTTATTTTACATTATAATGAAAGGACAAATATTTAACTCATCACTTACTTCATAAGACTCGATTACGCGGTCTCTCAGACCTCACATCGGTACTAACGATACAAAAAATGCACGTCGGTATTAAAAGGTTAAGAGAAAGCCTGCATAAACTTAAAGAGGCTTCTTCAATTGCTATCGGACATTTGTTAAACACTTCATCTTTTAAATGACCTATGTCACCTTCTACCTGCATTTCGAATTTGTCTTTTAAAATCTTCTGAAAGATATTCTTTAATTGCATCCCACACACTTACTGGATCAGAGACTTGGCAAAACATAAACAGGATAGTAAAAAGCCCGCATGTTATATTACTCCGACAGAGAAACATTGCTTATTTGGTAGTTATTTTTGCAACTTTGAATGCACATTGTGTCATCGTAACGCATTTTTACATTGGCTGTGTATTAACCAAACTATTTGAAAATAAGATCTCACGCCTTAAGTGAAGCTATATTTACCAAGACGGATTTTACACGCTGATCCGTTATCTATAGTATTGTTGATCGAAGCTTGCGATACAAAAAATATCACTCGCGCCGTTGCCTACCCAGACCCAATCTCCTTTCTTTTTTTTGTCTAGGAAATGCAGCCCTTGGGCCAGATGAAATAAGCAGAGAGCAGCAGAGACGCCCTACCTAACTCTCTGAACGAGGCCACTAAAAACTCCCCACCCGCTGTCCCCCGATGCATCTCCTTCTGAGATGCAGGTGTATGACGAGCGCTCGGAGGCCAACGACTCGGAGTTCGAGCACGTACCTCAAAAA